AAGCAAAACAAAACACCCCCCCCCCCCTCACAAAAAAGAAGAAAATTCAATGAAATTGTCCAGACGAGCAGAAGAAATGTGTGTTTCTTCGATTTCATTATTTTGACGAGCGTGTGAATTCCAAGTGTTGTTAATTTGACATAACCAGTGTAGGGCCAAAGAATAATAAAAAAAACAACAACAACAACAACAACAACAAAACAAACAAAACCAAACCCCCCCCCCCCCCTTTTTCCTCACACCTAAAAAAGCAAAACAAAACAAAACAATACAAAAATGAGAGAACATTTCTCCAGTTGGCAGGCAAAAAATGTCGGTTTCTTCGATTCAATTATTTTGACGAGCTTCTGATTTCCCAGCAGCCCTGTGGTCCGTGAAGTAAACCCCCTACAGTAATCAATAGCTGGTGAGGTGTATATTCCGAGTGGGATGGTGAGTTTGCTGGGGAAAGAGTTGTTACTAAGCTGCGTCCTAACACTAGTGCTGGGCGCGAGGTTTGCGATTATTGAAAGCTAGGAATCGTAGGACTTGACTCCGAACCCAATTACTCACTTTCTGATGATATAATTTCTTCCGGTAGTTATCAAAACACTTCAAGATTTAGGATGACCTTGATTTCGGAACACTACAAAGCAACAGCTTTTATTTTTCAAAATTAAATTCTTTTTTTAAAAAGAAGATATTAGTGAATCAAAGTAGCTGATAACTGTTGGTTTACGTAAAAAGGAGTTGGAACTTTTCTTCTGCATTAATCTCGGGAATCGGTTCCGGGATCGATTCTTCTCCCAGCTCTACCTAACACAAAGAGAGGACTCATGAACTTGTATGTCGCAATATTTACGCACCGGTACAGCTGTCTCATCATTGCTACGAAAAACAATCGTTTCAATAATCTTATGTTTCAAAAGTTCTTTCCGAGATCTTGAGTATATATTGCAACACGAAAACACGCAGTTCCTGGGATCTTTGCTGACTGTCTATTTGTAAATATGTTTTATAAAGTGAAGAAAAACACGCTAAAACGTGATTTTTGTGTGTGTGTGTTTGGGGATTTTAGTCTCAATTCACCACCCTGCAAGCCACAGGCACAGCATGTCGCAATCACCAACTATACTCGAGCATGATGTTGAAAGTTCGGTGCATGTCCGCCTTTAGTGCAGGTCATTGTGAATGAAAACATATAGTTCTACATGGCTCCCAAAATACTCCCCAATTGTTGTGTGTCTGCATGTGTTTGTGTGTGTGTGCGTGTGTGTGTGTGTGTGTGTGTGTGTGTGTGTGTGTGTGTGTGTGTGTGTGTGTGTCTGCATGTGTTTGTGTGTGTGTGCGTTGTGTGTGTTTGTGCGTGCGTCTGTGCGTCTGTGCGTGTGTGTGTGTGTGTGTGTGTGTGTGTGTGTGTGTGTGCGTCTGTGCGTGTGTGTGTGTGTGTGTGTGTGTGTGTGTGTGTGTGTGTATGAGTGTGTATATGTCTCTCCCTCTCTCGCTCTCTCTCTCTCTCTTTCTCTCTCTCTCTTTCTCTCTCTCCCTCTCCCTCTCCCTTTCCCTCTCCCTCTGTGTGTGCGTGTGTGTGTGTATGTGTGTGTGTGTGTGTGTTGTGTGTGTGTGTGTGTGTGTGTGTGTGTGTGTGTGTGTGTGTGTGTATGTGTGTATGTGTTTGTGCATTAATCCATCGAGATGGATTTCCTACAAGCTAAGTAACCGATTCGATATTACAGATCTAAAATTGTTTCATAGACCTTAACCTTTTTATCTGAGAGTGTGCCAGAAAAAGCTATAATGCGAGTTCGACACTGTTTCAAATCATTTCCTTTATGTAGTCTGCAGTACAAAGTCGAAGAGGTAGTAGTGGTTGCAGCATCAGCAGGGGGAGGAGCAGTACCAGTAGTAGCGGCACTAGACTCTAGTAGTAGTATACTGGTTCTAGTCTAAGTGTGGGGGGGGGGGGGGGGTGGGGAGTTTACACCTGAAGGCTATCTCGCTTATTAGTATATCAAATTTTTACCAAATTTCACACATATAACAAGAGTAGCAAAGGGTCTTAAAATCCGCAATCAAATTTGAGAAAAAGTTTCGTTTCCATGGCTACGGTGATCGTATTGGATTTTATTGACATGTCTTACGTAATAAAACCGCACTTTTTTCATGGAAATAGATTGAGTTTTTTGTTATTTATTTTTTTGCATGCATGTTAACAAGCATTAGATCTACATTTTTCTCTTTTGAACTTTTCGTATACGAATTAGAAAAGTTTTTATGAGTTTTTTCCTGAGGTAGTATTCCAATTTGCAAAAAATTCGATAAAATCCACACTCCAGACACCACCAACAAAAATATATTCCACATATCAAAATTTCAAAAGAAATTTTTTGAATAACATCTTGTCTTCATTCTGTGAAAACGGCAAGACGATTGGATAAAGAACGGTGAAGTTATTCAAAAATATATATAAAAACCGCGTTTTGAGAAAACCCGTGGTGAAGAAAAATAAAAGATTGACTTTATGAGGAAATGGTGGTGACAAACATGCCCGGTATGGGAAGAAATAAGGCTTTAGGGGTTTCTAATGCTATGAAATAGTTGTAAGAGAGGCTGAAGAAGTAAAAATGCTTACGATGCAAAATCCATAATTTTTAGCGGAATCGGGACTTTTGGGGGTGTAGTCCCCCGCCTTAAAATAGGAGACTAAAAGCAAATAGTTGCATTAAAGAGATAAAAACTCATCTTCACCCCCCCCCCTCCCCACCCGCTGTCTACCTGTGTGTTGTGTGGCTACTTTTCAGGGAATCTAAATTGAAATGAATATACCATAATTTATTGACTTCTATTCTTTAAATGTGCTTGTATCACGAGGGTTGAAATCTATATTAAAAGTTTCGTGTCATTCCCAGTGACCAGATTAAAGAGAGGCTTGTTGGAAATAAGCCGTGGGTAAGGAGCGATCTTGTGACAATGCTATGCTTAGATCGAGGTGGCTAATTACATATGTGAGGCAGCGTGGTGAAATCAGGCTCTCGTCAATGTTGAAGCATGTAGCGTTATTGGTATCATCTTAAAGCTTGCTCATTTGTCTTTATTTGGATGAAAAAAATATCTATTTATCTTGAATACAAGTCGAGATATTTGAAAATAAAGGAGGTGGGGTTCATCTGTTTTGAGAGGTAAAATTAGTGAGAAAATGGCCACCAAAGAAAAGTTATTTCCTTAGATTAAGAGTCCATGGTAACAGAAAATTAACATTTTTTGTGAATTTAATCAACGTTTTTCAGAAAAATCCACACAGAAATGAGTTCTTTAATGTGCACGAAAGGAGTTGAGCCAAAAAACGAAAATTTGATAAAAATTCACAAACCTGTGGAAAAATGCAAGTTTCTTCACTTTGATTATTTTTGACGAGAGCCTGATTCCACCACGCTGCCTCACTTATTAATGTCAAGGAGTGAAGGTAAAATTTTCTTGCCTTTATTATAGACGTACCAAAAAAAGACAACAGAAAATGAATCTGATCGAGGGATTACCTCTGACAGTCCTTCCTGTCTTCTTCTTCTTCTTCTTTTCATTTTTTCTTTTTTTCGAAGGCGTTTCTCGCATTTGCTGCTCAATTAGTTCAAATAAGTGCCGACTTCTTCTATTAGTCTCTTTTTCTTTTAATGTTGGTGATTTTGACACGTCGAACTGCCCAATTTAGAACCTTTAAGAGGCGGGTTCAATCATGCCAGTCTGGGCCAACCCTGGCTGAGACGGATACAACATCCCAGCAGAAAGACAGCGAGAATTAATAAATTAAAGTTCTGTACACTTGTAGTGTTCACCAAACAAGGGTTTCAAGACAGCATCAACATTAGCCTTATGGGTGAGACGGCTGTCTACGTAATGACGAATCTCACCCGAGTCTTCTGTGTGTGAGGGCGAAGCGCTTAATCGCAACAACATAGAGGCTGATGTCTCCTACTTACAGTTGTTGTTTTTGTCTTTCTGTTCAACGATTTTCGGAATTAATTTCGCCAAAATACGGACATACACAGATCTTTCAACATCGTGTACGAGTATAGCTGGTGATTGCGACATACTTTGCCAATGGTCGGAGGGGGAGAGGTGACAAGCCGAGGAGAAAAACAACAACCGAACAACATTAAGAAAACAACAGAAACAGAAACAAAACAAAACCCCAAAAATTTATTGGCATGGATTCCTTCTACAGCTGTGCTGGTAGCTAGCCAAACATTGCGAAATACACGTTCATTCGCGCCCCCCCCCCCCCCCAAAGTAATTAATTAATAACTACTACTACTACTACTACTACTACTACTACTACTACTACTACTACTACTACTACTACTACTACTACTAATAATAATAATAATAATAATAATAATAATAATGACAATAATAATAATAAATACAGGATTTTAATTAAATTAAAATTAGAAATAAAAATCTAATAACAAAACACAAAATATAACAAAACAAAAAAAATATTTAAAAAACAAAATCAGCCCGAACACCCAACAAGATACAATACAATAATAATAAGACTTGCACTGGCGTATCTGAGAGCATTGACACTTGTGTCTATTTGAAAACTAGCGCCTGTGGTGTACAGGTTAGGCACTTCTCTGTCGCTAACCAGAGACCCGAGTTCAATTTTCGAGTTGTAAGAAGATGTTGTATTCCTCTCAGCCAGGTTTGGGCCTGAATGGTAAGGTCGGACTCTCATCTCCTAAATGATCTGAAGTGTGTCAATAGGAGCGTAAAATATGTTCATAAAAAAGACTTCTGTTGTCTCTGGTGCAGTGGTTAGGTATTTCGACATCTCGCGGAGAATGACAACATACATTTGTAATATCAAGCATTCTGAAAAAACAAAAGGTGGGTCCTGGGATCCACAAAGGCTGTTTGGTCTTATATTTCGCTGTAAATATATCCATAAAAATGCTCGCCGTTGTGTGCAAGCCTATAAATACTGGAGTGGACACTAGCTGAGCAATCAACGACTAATCATGATGAAGGTTCTCCTGTGTGTGTCTGCTCTCGTCCTCGTCAGCGTGAACGTAAGTCTTATACCATAAAGAAGATAACGTTTTGAAGAAGGCTGGGCGATCCGGTTCTCCACAATCATAATCATCATCATCATCATCATCATCATCATCATCATCATCATCATCATCATCATTATCATCAGGTGTCAGATCTGTAAAAGACATAGGCAATCATATTCACATATCTGTTTGGATGATCTAAAAACACCTACATTATCCTTGTATATCCCCGCCACCCATCTGTTCAGGTTTTCCAAATCGTTTCTCTGGGTTTACCCCTGATACGTTTGCCTTCCATTTTCCCCAGCGAGATCAAGATGTTCAAACCTTTATATTGATTCAAGAGTCATAGAAACCGCATTTGTCGCTTCCTACTTGTTGTTCTTTGTGAGCGACACACATGAGCTTCTTTCAGAACTTGCTCCTAGGTTCTATAGCATCTACAATACGGGACATATTGTTTTTTCGGACTCAATTCTTCCTGGCCACTCCAGAGACAAAGGACCAGGGTCTGTGGTGTAGCGGTTGGGCGCCTCGCTGTCGCACACCGGAGACCCGAGTTCAATTCCCGAGTGGGAGGACAATTCTTACAATGTATTTCTGCTGGGATGCTGTGTCTCTCTCTGGCTCGATTGGCTCGATTGGCCCTGACAGGCAGGGTCGGAAGTCCGACTCTTAAATTATCTAAATTGTGTCGACGGTGGTGTGAAAACACTTACATTTGAACAAAAATGAGAGAAAAAAGTTTGAGATGCTCTAAAGTTACTTCTGCCCATGTCCAATTCATCCCTCCTCAGAGCTGCTATTGTGGTCTGTCTTGTTGTGCTGCTGTTGTCGCTGCTTTCATTATTGTTACCGCTACAACTAATTCTGCTATGATCACAAGGCTGTCAACGAAATAGCAGAAAAGAAGATGGAAAAGGGCTACTTCACTGATTCCAATGAACAGCCATATTTAAAAAGACTTCTACGATTCCACAAGTAGTATACAAGGAACATTCCCAAACATTAGTGACATAATGACAAAATCCAACGCCTTTGTGACCTCAGTATATACTCAATGATGTACTTTGTTATCACTATTCCTGTGCCTTTTGACAAATACGACTCGTTGAAACGCAGAAAAAAATACTGTTTTAAAAACATCTAGAGAAATGATTTTCTCATGAACCTGAAAAATACCTCTTTTTATAAAAGATAGAGAAATTATTTTTCCTTAGCACCTCAAAAATCATGCTTTAAACGTTTAGAGAAATGTTTGATAATCTTTCCCCAACACATAAAAAAATTATTTTTTAAAAACATTTAGAGAAATATTTTCCCCAAGTACATTTTTAAATAAGCACTTTTATAAGATCTAGAGAAATACTTTTCACGGAAGTCCATACCCTCCCAACTATGAAAAAACAAGCCAATATAAGCTTGTCTGCCACTGAGCGTACATGTCACAAGACTGTCCTCCCCAGGCAAAGGTGGGTGACGTGTGTCAGGACGAAAGCACGTGTGACCCTGGAGAATGTTGTTTGGAGCCCGTGGACTCTTTGATCGTCAGCAAGAAGAGATTTGACTTTGGCCCCATCTTGGAAGCAAGGAACGGTGAGGCGTGATCACAGTCTGTTTTGGGATACAGACAACTAAATGTGCTTAAAGACGATATATGTGAGGCATCGTGGTAAAATCAGGCGCTCATCAAAATAATGAAAACGAAGAAATCAATAATTGTTCTGCCTTTAAGCAATTTTAATTGATATATTTTTAGCGGGTTTTTTTTCCCAATCTCAACACCTGTTATATTTAGGAAAGAATGGGGAGGAGGGGGGGGGGTGTGAATATCAGAAATTTCATTTGCTTTAAACACTTCATGTAGTCATTTACATAAAGTTCTGCTCTTCTTTCAACTCATGGAAAGTTTGAAGGCGCTCTGAGATTGTTTGCTCCTTCTTCCCTATCCAACTGACATCGCCCTTATCTCTCCTCCATCTTTTTTTGGTGTCTTACTCTCTAGTAACCACCTCTAATCTTCGGCACTGTTGTGAGCTGTTTGTGTTGCTAGTGAAGTAAAATTGAGAGAAACCAAGAGCTCATCCTCAGCTAAAGGTCAAGGCCATCGCATCGATGACGTCAACATCCAAAGTACTTAACATTGTTTTAATTGACCAAGGAATTTGGGGGTTACAATTAACAGAAAAATGCAAAAGTAAATGAAAGGGGACCAATAAGCAGAGTGGGAATAACTAGAAATAAGGCTTTTTCATCCTTTCTCAAACACCCCACCTAGTCACGTATTGTATACTTCTGCTTTTCTTTCAACTCTATGGGAAATAATCGGTGAGTAACTAGGTTTGTGACTAAAACATCTATCTTCAGCGGGAAGATTTTTTTGGACTGAAGATGTAGCCACCACCCACCCCCTCTCCTCCCCCCTCTCCTCCCCTCCACCCTCTCCTCCCCCCAAATTATCCCTATAAAGATACACTGCTAAAACATTTCTTGTCAGTTTTTTCGCATTTTTGTCGTTCTCAAAGAGTTGCATATATAATCTATCGAAAA